TTTCTAATTTTACCATTCATTTTAACATCAATTTAACGCCAAAGCTAATGGATGACCATTTTGAGAATTAACTCTAACATAGAAAACAAAGACATAATACACTTATACTATATATCAATACAATTTTTATTCCATTAAAGACTAATATCATTAACTCTTATTAAATTTAGAGATTTAGAGATATGATGACCCAAGCATTAAAAAAAAAAACCACACATTTTACCAAATTAATGGTATGTTGATCTCACTAGCTACCAAAACTGGACATGGACACGAACCGAACTTATGGAATCGTTTACCAGATTTGGTAAGTCACCTTTGAAGTAGAAAATGCCAAAAAAATATGTTTACCAAATGCAAGTTGAACCAAGGCAAAATACAACAATCAATATCTAAGGAGTCAAAATTCAAGTTTGAAATATCTTCTCTCTTCAATGGATAATGTAGGCAAATTATGCTGTGCATCCGTATGCACCATGCATGGTGCATACGGATGCCAAAACGACGTCGTTTTAATAAAACGCGCGTCTCCCCTTAAAAAAAAAAAATCAGGTTCGATTCCCAGCAACAACATATGAACTAAAATTCCATAATCGATGAACTATAATTCCATAATCGATGAACTATATATAATTCCATAATCGATGAACTATATATAATTCCATAATCTAATCTATGAACTAAAAATTCCAGAATGAATGAACTAAAATTCCATAATCTATAAACTAAAATTTCAGAATCGATGAACTACAATTCCATAATCGATGAACTATAATTCAATAATCAATGAACTATAATTCCATAATCTATGAACTAAAATTCCAGAATGAATGAACAATATAATGTTGTTGCTGGGAATCGAACCTGAATTCTTTTTAAAGGGGAGACGCGCGTTTTTTAATAAAACGACGTCGTTTTGGCATCCGTATGCACCATGCATGGTGCATATGGATGCACAGCATAACGATTGGATAATGTAAAAATCAATTATAAATAGAGATGAAAGAACTTTTAAGTGTTACAACGGCCACCATTTTTTTTTTTGGTCTGTTTTTTATTTTTCTTTTAAAAATTACATGAGTTTTTTATTTTTTTTTTAAAATTTTTTAATTATTATTACAAAAAAAAAAAATTAAACATGTAAAATACTTGTTTAATATAATAAGGAGTATATAATTTTATTAATATATTTTTAATTAAAATTTTATAACTACTAATTTAATTAAAATTTGGATGATTTAATTATCCAAATTTAAAAAAATAATTAACACAGAGGTATTCTTGTCATTTCACGGTCTTGTCTCGGTTTCCTCATTTATGAAGAATGTATTTTCAAATTTATTCTTCCCACTAAACCCCTTAGGAAAAATCATATCCCAGACAATTTATTCCCAAGACCACTGAAAACTGTCACATTTTGCAGCGCAGCATTCCAATCTCCCGCGGCATGCATACTATACACCCCACAAGATCATTATTCAATAACACAATTTCCCTCAAATTTGCCATTCTCCCAACGCTACTCGGAATGCACCCCTTGAAGTTGTTGTTGGTGAACACCACAACAGAGGCAAAAGAATTCCCGATACTTTCAGGGATGGTGGAAGAGAAATGATTGTTATTCAAGAAAATCGTGTCAAACTCTTTGTAATATAGTTCTTCCAAGAGCTTCACTTCAAAGTTATTGTACCTTAAATCAAGATATCTCAGACTCTGCATGCGAAAAAGAACAACCTCAAGAAACTTCCCGACAATTTGGTTGTTTCTGACATCCAGCTCGTGCAACAACGTAAGCTTCGGGAAACTCCTGAGAATAAGCTTCAAGAAACTCCAAGTAAGTTTGAGGTCCGAAGACGGCCATGCGTCGTTCTTAAACAGCCATGGCTGACAGCAATCTTCAGGGGCAGATCTACAGTGGGACAGTGGGGGCAGCTGCCCCCACTCACCCCACCCCCATATATAACCCTTATATATATATATATATATATATATATATATATATATATATATATATTAAATTAACTTAGATGGTAAGGCATGTGTTAGTCTTAGGAATGTCAAGAGTTTGAATACCCTTGAAGGGACTTTTTATGGCTATTTTAATAATAGTGGCTTCAGCACAGTGTTATTATTTTTGATGCTTTCAAAAAACATATTAAGGGTCTGTTTGGTTTATGAGTTTACACACTAGAAATATGAATCAAATTCATAGTTACTGTTTAGTTGACAAATTTTTAAAACACAACTATGAGATTTGATTACCCCCAATTAAAAGTACATCCCCAAATTAAAAACGGGTATCATTCTATCTTATTAGTAATATGATATTTAAGTTTGGATCAGTGCTTTTAGATTTTTATTTTGATATATTTTTTTTTTTCATATTGGTGTTTTGGTTGTCATTATATTAGAATCAATTGCCTTAATTTTTTATTTTTGTATTTTTAAAACATTTATTCCCATTATAAGATCATACATAACCAAACATTAATATTGATAATCATTCCAATTCCACCATACTACCAAAGATGCAAAATACATTCACCAAAACCCATTACCATTACCAAGTATTTGATTCTCATTCCGATTCCAATTCCGTAGTGCGAACCGAACACACCCAAAGATTTTCACACACACACACATTATATATATATATATATATATATATATATATATATATATATATATATATATATATATATATATTAATAATGATATGTGTAATTTATAATGTGTTTTATATTAAAATTATTTTATCAAATTAATTATGTTTCATATTTTGTTATAAATATTTCTATAAAGTTTTGATGTGTTTTATTTTTCGTTCATATCTAACAACTAGCATTTTGTATGCGCAATGCGCGAAAATTCATGCTCAATATTCAAACATTGATAAATACAAATAATTAAAAATTATAATTTGAATTATATATATACACAAATAATATACTCCCTCTGTCCCATTTTATATGTCCTACTTACTATTTATTGGTCAAACCAACTCTTTCTTTTGTGTTTATTTTCTTTATTATTTTTTACTTGTTTTTAAATTTGATTTTTTGTGTTTAATAGTACTTTTAGTGTAGTTTCTAAATATATAAATTTTGTATATTAATACTAAACTTAATATTATGAAAAATTGAATTAAAAACAACTCCAGTCAAGCCTCGTTAACCGAACCAGACACATAAAATGGAACGGAGGAAGTATGTATTTTGTACACACATATATAATTTATCATTCATAGAAATTTAATTAAAATATAACTCAGCATTAAATTAATATATAATTATTTTAATAAAATGATAATTAAAAAATAGGAAAAAAAATAATAGATATAGGTGTATGGTAATAATGGTGTGTTATCAACGTTAGAATTAAAAACTAACGGTGTTATAACGGTGTAAGGGTAGTTTTGTCTAATAATATTAAAATGTACAACATTTAAAGTAAAATGTACACATTTATTTGCATACAAAAAGGGGACATAAATCAAGGATATATATAATAATAATAATAATAATAATAATAATAATAATAATAATAATAATAATAATAATAATAATAATAATAATAATATGTGTAATTTATAATGTGTTTTATATTAAAATTATTTTATCAAATTAATTATGTTTCATATTTTGTTATAAATATTTCTATAAAGTTTTGATGTGTTTTATTTTTGGCTCATATCTAACAATATTTATGGCTAACTTTTTTAAGTGTTTCATTTTTTTAAGCGAGTTAATTCCAGCAATTGTCCTCCGACTATATTGATTTTCCAAAATTAGTCCTTGACTTTTAATTTGGACACTTTAGGTCCTTTGACTTTTAATTTCTTTCCAATTGAGATCCTTTCGTCAGAATACGGTTAATTGAATTTTAAATGTAGGGGTAAACTCATCATTTCACCTGCCTATGTATTATTCTTAGTATTTCTCCATTTTATACGCGATAGATATGAAGATAATCTTAGTCGAAACCCTAAAATGTTCCTCGTCGTTCCCCATTTGCTGACTACTCGTGTGTGCGTTCCTCTATTATTATGATGTTTACAAGGTATAACGGCGAAATACGAAGGGAGAAATACGAAGAATAATACATAGACATGTGAAAGGATGAGTTTACCCCTTCATTTAAAGTCTAATGAACCGTATTCTAACGAATGGACCTCAATTGGAAAGAAATTGAAAGTCAAGGGACCTAAAGTGTCCAAATTAAAAGTCGGGGACTAATTTTGGAAAATCACTATAGTCGGAGGACCATTGCTGGAATTAACTCATTTTAAGCTATCCATTTTGTTTCAATGTTTCACCCTCACTGAGAAAATTTTAATTTCTTGATCCGCCACTGACTGCCTGTGAACAAGACAGGAGTTGGTGTATTTTTAAAAAAAAATTAATTTAAAAACAACAGAAATAAAAAAATAATTTAAAAAAAAATATACATGTCAGCATTATAAAGCACCAACCAGCTAAATAGGTAATTTAGGATCTGATTGAATAATTTTATCCGGTTGACTTAGAAAATCAATTTTACCATTTTTCCTAAAATAAAATATTTTAGAAGCAAAAATCGTTTCCAAATAATACCACATAATCATAGCATAAATATCCATTACCGTCCAAGTGAGTTTAGTACATTCACTTATCGTTATACTAATATAATTAACCACGCTAGAAGCATTAAACCCGCAAAGTACGTGCCCATGCTAAGAAGTGGTTTAACTTGTTATTATGCAATCCTCCAAGACCTCACAAGAAACAAAGACCCACAAGTCACTCAAAAGCCTACCGCAAATCCTATGGTCATGCTAACATAAAACCAATGCACATCATAATCATCATCTTTATTTTCATGCTTGGGAATTTCACCATCACCAACACTACAATTCTTTAAGACTGGAAGTTCGCAAAGGTTGTTGCCAATGTAACACGAAGCATTAAAGCCTTGAAAATGAGTATATGAAGGTATTCTCCCAGATAGGTTGTTATACACAAGTCCAAAACACCCAGAGCAGACAGATTTGAGAAGCTCGAAGGAATTTCACCTGAAAGCTTATTTCTAGAAAGATCAAGAGATTCCAATAGTTTCATGTTTCCCATGTCTAGATGGATATTTCCTATTAAGCTGTTTCTTTATAAATTCAACAATCTAAATCCCACAAGATCGATCAATTCAATTGGAATTTCCCTAGAAAATTTGTTCCCTGATAGATCCATGGTAGCCAACATCAGTAGAATGGTAACACCATAGTTGTACTCATGCCATTTTGTTGTCACTAAAGCACAAAGACCCCCATTAAATTTGAATAATTCATCTCATAGCCATCATCTTGAATTTCTCTCGTCTCATGGATCATTGCATTGAGATTTTCACGGCACCGTGGTATCACACCAACGAGGTTATTATCAGCAAGGTCAAGAATTTGAAAAGATTTGAGATGGAAAAACTCTGGTGACAATTCACCATTAAACTTATTTATACAGAGTCTTTGGATTGTCAAATTTGAAATTTTTAACCCCAACCATGTTGGGATGTTCCCCGTAAATCCATTTTCACCCAAATCTACTTTCAATAGACCAATATAATTCTGCAATGATGAATGTATATGGCCAAAAAGCATGTTCTTATGCAAGTCCAAAGATCGCAACCTACTCAAAAGCCCAATGGAGTTTGGGATGCTTCCAATCACTTTGTTTTCTTCCATATTTATGACATTTAAGTGTGGCCAATGCATCCAACAATCAGGAATTTCTCCGAATAAAGCATTTCCTCCCAAATGTAGTATTTTAAGCTTATTTGTCACATTTTGTGCATTGCATAAAAAGTGAGAGATATCTCCTGAGAATGAATTGTTTGAGAAGTTTAACTCGGTTATGTTAATAGAGGTACGAGGTAAAGGACCACTAAATTGGTTAGAGCCCAAATACACTAGTAACCATGGACATCCATTTAATTGCTGAATTGAGATCTCTTCAATTTTACCTCGCATTTGGTTGTGTGAAATATTGACAATTGCAATACTAGAAGATAAGTTCCAAAACCAAGTTGGAACCTCACTTGTTATTCCAGTATCAGATATGTCCACGATTTCAACATTGTGTAGATATCTTAGCTAAGTAGGAAATTGAGGACCCAAATTTCAACCACTTAATGCAATTTGTCTAAGTTGGAAGGGAGGCATCCAGTTTGGACTAACATTCAAGGTTAATCTATTTCCATATGCTCTTAACTCTCATAACATGGTGAGATTAAGAAAGTGATCAATTTTTTGTCACTATGCATTCCAACATGTTATTGTAAATGGTTAAATATCTCAATGAAACCAAATAGCCTAAACTCTTTGGAAGAGGTCCATAAAACTTGTTGTCTGAAATAAAGATCAAGCCTTTCTAACTTGCTAAGTTTCCCAATTCGCTTCGGTATTTATCCAGTAAGATTATTTCCACAGAGGTTAAGGGTAGACAAAGAAGGCAAGTTGGAAATGGAATTTGAAATGGTACCCTATATCTAAGTGTTACTAAGAAAGTGTTTCTGATTATTACAATCGTAAATCCAATTTGGTATGTTGGAATTCAAAGGGTTATTTGAAGGTTCAAAAGTTTTAAGGGAAGTCAAGTTCCAATGACCAATGAGACCTTGAAATTGATTCGAACTTATATATACAAATATTCTAAGTGGCTGAGACCAAACAACTGGCTAGATAATGACCCACTCACTTCATTACTAGAGATGTCATGAAATCTAAGAGAAGACATGTTCCAACTGGCGATGCTCCTCCAAAGTGGTGGCTGATCGGGCAGTTTCCGGTGGTACAAGATGTAAAGGTTCAAAACAAGATAAAGAGCAAAAAGAAAAAAAAAAATAGGGGAAAAGAAGATCTGGCAGTGAAAAAGTAAAGGAAGAAAGGAAAAATAATAATAACGATAAAGAAGGAGAATGTGCATAATGACAATAAAAAAAATGCCTAGTGGCGGAAGGGGTTGTGGTTGCAGTCATTGTTGGAGTTGTTATTGGAGTTTTCAACTTTGACCCTGTCGAGAGAAGCTAACTACTTAATACAGAAGGTTCAAGTGCGGCGGTGTCTTACGGTGCGACGTTACCAATAGTTCAACAAATATACACCATTAACGTTTCAACAAAAACATCATGTGCGGGGATTAATGTGCATGAGATTTGTGTATGTATGTATTCTAACAAAAACATTATGTGCGGTGATTAATATGCATGAGATTTGTGTATGTGAGTAGTTGTAATAAGGTACGTTAGTACGTGTTCTGTCGCGGTGATTAATGCGCATGAGATGTGCGTGTGTTTTGTACTCAAAGTGCGTCACTCTTCCACTGAGGCTCGAACCACCCCCACGTGGGAGTTCAACTTGGTACCATTGGTCCAAAAGATCATTGGTTAATATTAACTAATTTAGTTTAATTAATTAATTAATTTTTTTTTTATATATAATTGATACTTCATTTTGTATCAATAGCATCATCTCATTGAGAATGAATGTACTTTATATGGAACTTGAATATTAATTTTTAGAACTTTCCATAAATCTCTACAGAAACCTATGGATTTATAGATTTTAGAATATTCTATAAATCTCTACACAAATTTATGTACATATTTGTACAAAATTTTACAAATAATGGGAAGCTATATACAAAATGTAAAAATGATCTAGAATAATGTAACAAACCTCGAAAATATGTAGTAAAGATGCACAAGTGTTATATGTTTTGCATTTTGTTTACTTATTGACATAGTTCTTTTTGAATATTTTTAATGAAGAATTGAATAAGGGTTTAGCATTACATAATTCCTATTTAAGTATTTTTAATCAGAAATTGAATGGAGTTTAACCATTTTCCTAAGTATTTTAAACCAAAAGTTAAATACGGTTTTAACATAATTCACCATCAAGGGGATGCATTGTGTTATTGATAGAATCCTGCATAATTTATTAATATTAACTAATTAACTTTATTTATTTATATATTTTTTATTATTGATACTTCATTTTATATCAATAGCATCATCCCAATAGGAATGAATACACTTTATATGGAACTTGAATTGTTTTGAACTATCAAATGATTGGATTGTTGAGGATGGTTTCAGACTTTCAGATGAGCACCTTGAGGCTATTTATATTCATTCCACCTTTTTAATAGACGGTAGAGATTTACTTAGATCATACCCTAGAAATTAATTTTTAGAACTTTCCATAGATCTCTACACAAACCTATGGATTTATAGATTTTAGAATATTCTATAATCTCTACGCAAACTTATGTACATGCTTGTAGAAAATTTTACAAACAATGTGAAGCTATATAAAAGTGTAAGAATGATCTAGAATGATTTAGCAAGTCTCGAAATATGTTGCAAAGATGCACGGATGATAGACCGACTTAATTAGTATAAATAATAGGAGGGTCTCCCCCTTAGTTCTCATCTTCATCTCATTGCAACATCTACTACCTACTACTTGTAATCTTCACACTGTAACGTCACCCCACTTATAATCGACTCTATAAAAAATAAAATAAAAAATAAAAAGAACTATCCGCCGGTCCGTTTGAAATTTTGCCCGGTCGAGTGTTACATCTATCCTGTTTCTCAACGATCAGACCTGGTAATCAAATAAATAAATAAATATAAATATAAATATAAATATATATATATATATATATATATATATATATATATATATATATATATATATATATATATATATATATATATATATATATATATATATATATATATATATATATATAGTGAAAGGTTCCCGTGCGGTTGAATGCTTCCCGCGCGGATGTGCGGTGGATTAATGTGCCTGAGATTTGTACTTACAGGGCGTTTGGTTGGAGGGATTTTAAATTCCCTTCCCACTTAATTCCCACCTAATTCCAAAGGCCATTAAATTCCGTAGTTTGGTTGGAGGGAATTGCAATTCCCCCATTTTCATGGAATTAAAATCCCATGTCCCCCCCCCCCCCTCCCCCCCCCCCCCTGTGATTTTAATTCCTGGAAAAAAAAGATAGTGATGAGTCAAAATTACCCCTTCATTTTTTAACCTAAAATTAATGTCTAACAACAATAATGGACATTTTTGACTTTATACTACTTATTCCCTTTCAATTCCCATGTATACCAAACATTGGAATTGAAATTCCCAGTAATTCTATTCCTGTCAACCAAACAGTGGAATTTAAATTCCACTTTATTCCCAGTAATTCATCTCCCATGGAATTACAATTCCTTTCCCACATAATTCCGCCCCTCCAACCAAACGCCCTGTTAATGTGCGTGAATGTGTAAAATGCAGCAGAAAATATTGATGTCAACTTCTTCCCCATCCCCAGTAGCCATTTGCCCCCTCCCTGATGATGATGATGCGGAGGCGAGCTATGGAGGTTAAGAATTATGGGAATAATACAACAGAAATCCACACTTTGCTACTGTGCAAATTTTACTGTGCGTGCGTTATTTATATAAACATTCAACTGCATTAAGGGTAGCTGATAACCTAGAATCCATGGCCAAATTGAAGGAAGAAGTAACAAGAAGCTTGGGCGTTAATATGCGTGAGTTTCTGTTCTGCTTCCTTCTGAGCTCGTAATTCTGAAATACGTACGCACATTAAGCACAAATCTCATGCACATTAAACACAATACTCAGGAACACTAAGTACAAGACTCACGCATATTAACATGACGCACATTAAGTACAAATCTCAGGCACATTGAGTACAAATCTCACGCACATTAAGTATAAACCTCACGCACACTAATCCACCACACGGGAAGCAACAAATGCACTTGATCCCTTCCCTATATATATATATATATATATATATATATATATATATATATATATATATATATATTACTTCCAAGAAGCATTAAAGAATGGACCTAGAAAATCACTAGATGATAGACTTAGATAAACAAGGTTATTAAGATTGAACACCCATCTAGAAATAACAGTGTTGAATTTATTATTGGAAAGATCAAGAACTACAAGTAAAGAATTGTTAAGGTGAAGTAGATGAGATGGTTTAAGAAGACCACAACCAGATAAATGAAGTTCACGCAGGTAAGGAAGCATATTAATCACCCCTGCCTAATTATGTGTCACGGTCAGATTTGAGAGACTAGATAACCAATCAAGTTTGTCAACTTTGAGACCCAAATTTGGCAAACGTAAAATGTTTGCCAAATTCCTTGAAATCTCAAGTAGGATAGATCAAGATATTGCAAATTCACAAATGATCCAATAAAATTGGGATATGAGACCCATTAAAAGCTTCAAAGAGGCCACTAAAATCAAAGTGACGTAATTGTTTCAATTCAAGCAGACAAGAATTAAACTTGCCTTTAAGAGGATAATCAACAAACTCAACATATTCTGGCAAACGGAGTTCAATGATATGGCCAGTTACATTGTCGCACACGACTCCTCATTTACTACAACAATTTGTCCATCAACCCAATTTGTTGAAACTTTTGACTCCTCCTTGAAGCATAACAATGCCCGCTTCTCCGCTTTCCAGGTTGCAGTGTTTATATATATTTTATGCTACAAAACAATGGTTGAAATGTATTCGGTGCACTGTTTTTGACTTGTCGAGTCAGTGTTCAAACTTCAAAGTCTTCGAATGCCAACAAAAGCTCCCAAGTGATAATAAGTTCAACAAAGTCTATAAAACGTGCGGTGCATCGCTCAAAGAATTATATTGCTGCCCGGCCTTGGGGATCTTTTTGCGTGGAAAGAAGGCAAAAGGGTAAAATATATTTTCCCATTATCTCATAACAATGGGTAGAGTGGATTTGTATTTCTGGTGATTTTTACCGTGCAACAACAATCATTACAACTATGTGGATCATATATACTATCAAATAATATACATTCAGGACACATATAATATACTTTTAGTATATTAAAAATGTATATTTTATTCATAAAAAGTACATTACACTGCTGGAAATTTGCAATTTTCCGACCACCGAAAAGTGGTCGGAAATTGCCTTAATTAGGTCGGAAAAGACTGTTCCGACCTCTTTTCCAACCAATTTGGGTGTCCGAAAAAATACCCCTAGCTATTTCCAACCACCAGAGAGAGTGGTCGGAAAACTGGACGCAGTCAATAAAAAAAATCATTTCATTACAGAGAAATCTCTGTAATGAAATGAATATATATATATATATATATATATATATATATATATATATATATATATATATATATATATATATATATTTTGTTGCAAGCTGGTAAGATATTTGCTAAAAAATCATAAAATACACATTTCATATTCTTGAAGAGAATTCATTCATCAATATGTTTGAAGATATTTGCTACTATTGCTAGTTTTTCCATTTCGACAAAATCATCCATTAGCCTCATCTCTGAAACTCCAATCATTTTCTGTTCAGAGTTACTCTTCTGGTCCTTATGATTCTTGAAATGCTCTAGTTCAGATATCAAAGCACAAGCCCAAGCTTCAGTAGAAACACTTTGATGCTCCTTCTTCGATTCATGGCTTGATATGGAGGACATATCATTTGATATAGGTCCATAAATAGCCAGCTCTTCCTTCATTTCTGCATACAATCCTTCAATGCACTGGTAAGGTGAGTTAGCCTTCCATTCTTCTAACTCTTCCTTCAAACACATAATTTCAGCCTCCGCTTTCTTGTGAGCTAAATTTTGCATCAATTAACAAATTGCACAAAAGTTAGTTGGAAGGACTTTGCAGAAACAGGAAAAAAATTGAAAGAATCTTCAATACAACATGAATAAACAAAGAAATGAAGTTATCACCTGCAATGGCTTCTTCCGCCATTTTTGTGAACTTTGTGACTAATTCATCTTTAGCGTTGCACTCATCGAGAGCAGATGCTAACTTCTCATCAAGGCTTCTCACCGATTCCTCAACAACAATAGAGCATGTTCTAGTAGCCCTAAAAAAATAAAAGCATGTGTTTAGTAATTCCAGATAACATACCTGGTTATTATTCTCATCACTTACATCTGATGAGTCATCACTCCGCTTTCAGCATTGCTCATGAGAAGATTATTTGTATAATAAGAATGTGATAAATACTTAAAAGAGGCAACTAAATAAAGAAGAGGTAAAATAATTTAGGGTGAAAATTAAAAGGAATTCGACACCAAATCCACAACAATAGACCTTTGGGTGGCACCATCATTTCCTGAGATAGAAGCTGCTTTTTTGCTTTCGGCTTTGCCACCAGAACTTCCCTTTGATTTTTCCCAGAAACATTTTCCTTCCCTTCAGATGCCTTTGCATCTGATTCAGCATTTGCCTGCACTGTACTTGGGGCCTAAACATGAAAAAAAAATACAGAATGAAAAGCTTCTCTTGGAGCCTAAACAAGCATCTGATTCAATTTTCTTATGTTCCTATAATGTTTATAGAAGGAAAAGCAACAGAGAGTGACAAGCATAAGCTTTTACTTGTATTTTCTTTTCTTCTTTTTGGGAATCAAAATCTCGAGCTATACATAATGCATGCAAACACCATGTACACAACTACTTAAAATGTCAAGGAAACCAATAAATGGAATTTAGATGTATACTGAACCCATTGGCCTCTAGGATATTGAAGAAGATACACAGTTGCATACTGCAGCCAAAATGAGCCATCATGATGTGAAGCTAGTGCTTAGAATGCATCAGATGATCACCACAGTGTAAATATGCTATAGAACATTTGTATAGAGAAACAAAAATCGGAATATGCACATTGCTATCAATACCTTGAGGCTTATCCTCAGTGAATTAATAGATGTTTCTTTCAAGCACCTTTCACCTTCATTTCGACAAATCAAAACCTGGCAGATAGTACACACTAATTCAATCTTAGAAAAAACACATGTAAAAGTAACATTGTTCAAGAGGTCGACATAACCCTTAACAATCTTAATCTAATCATCTTGTTAATAACCCAGAAAACAAGCTAGGATGAAAGAATACCTTGGGTGTGGGGATCCTTTGATGGGCTTCTGTCCATATTTCCGCCATGAATAATCATCGGGTGGAATGTCTGAAAGCTTCATGCTTATGGCTGGAACTCTTGTTACCCTCTTCAATCTTAGCTTTCTGTTTTGATTACCAGTAATAGAATCAGCGATTCATCGAGGATAATAATTATTAATGATTGACAGAGAAAGAAAAAGAAAAAACAAAAAAAGAAAGGGAATTAATTTCTTTTTGAACAGTGGCATCGGCTGAAATTTAACTTCTGATTCAATCTCCAAACTATTATCTGATCTGCATACTGCCACCAAAATTGGACCACATCAAGATAGAGTGTAGATCAGTAGATGACTTGTATAACCATCCAGCAGATGTAATCACATACACAGCCAATTCTAGTCTAATTATAATATCACAAAACCAACAAAATTTTTCCTACTTCATCATTGGCAACTAAAAAGATTATAATTACTAGCAAAACCTCAGGTTTTTAAAAAATATAGTTTCAATAAGAAAGGGAAAGTTACGAACCTGAATTGGTTCAGTGCTGTGAGATTTGCAGTCCCAGACACGCAAAGATTTATCATATCCAGAAGATACAACTACAGTAGCATAATCATTAAACTTCACAGCATTCACCTGGCAATGATGTTGAAGATGACAGTGTGAGGTAATAGTTGCAGACAATGCATTAATTTATAATACAGAAAGAAGTACATAATTACATATATATATACTGTATATATATATATAGTTAATAATAAGGAGCAATGGTTCCAGGCATTGGAAGTGCAGATAAAATACACATTTTACTAAATATATACACATAAATATATACACACACATAGGTAACCTGCAGATTCTGTTCCATTTGGAGTCAAATGATACTTAAGTTATACGGTCTTGATATTATTGGCATCATGTAGTGATCAAGTGTTTAAAAGATGAGCTTCAAATGCAACATACATTTAAGGGTGAAAAACATATTATCATAATTGTAATTTTCAGTGGTTTCAAATTCACACAAACTCTCAAAACCATATATAGAAAAGTCATATATGCAATTCAAAGCACTAAAGCAATTCAGAACACACACTAAATTATATAGATGTTAGCACAAAATAATTATCAGGAAAGCTATAATACCAAATTACATACACCAAATTAACAGTTGCTACTTAGAAAAATTCAGCACAGAATCTAGATACAGCTCCAATCTTAGAGTTAAGATGCCTTTAAAGTATTGCATTTATATATATTATTACTCTGTATTTTTGCCAAAAAAGAAAATGACACATGCTCTTTGATTGAACAATCTTTAAATGAAAGCAAGCAAAATTACATACCTATCAACACCAAAACTCAGTTTGTTAAACTACGCCAGTCTAGTGAAAGCAAGCAAAATTTCACCCTTACCTCCCCCGTCGGTTTGAGGCGACGACTAGCGAAAGGAGGAGCGTCGTCGGTTTGAGGCGATGCCTGCCGACTATAAGCTTGAATCTCCGGTTCTACTTCTTCCGGTGAGTATATTTTGAGCGAAAAGGGAGCAAATCCGTCCAGATCTGAGCCGTCCGATTCGGTTTTAGAGATTAGGAGAAGAAATAAATAACAAAAAATTCGAAGATTCGAAGGGAGACTTACCAGCGGTGGTGGAGGCCAGCACGCAGTGGCGGTGGCGGAGGCTAGTAGGGTCAGTAGTAGGTCGAGACAGAATGGCGGCGTCGGCAGTTGCGTCTACTACAGGTCGCGGTGGTTCGCGGCGTTGGCGGAGGAGGCAATATCGGCTGAGAGATGGATGAGACGAAGGCTGAGATGAATAGTTTGAAGTAGCTGTAGTGGAGGAAATTATAAATGGTTTCAAGGGGTGACTGCTCAGTTGCTTGACCATCCGTTGATGGGAAGCAATGTCCAAAAATTAGAGTCTCATTAACGGAGGCGTGTTGGTTATAAGTATTTTTATATTTTTTTTAACAGTGTGAGGGCATTTTAGAGAAAGAATAAGCTTTCTCTCCGCTGCTTTTAGGAGGGTTTACAAGCGCCGCTTCTAACCACATTTAAATACTAGTCGGTATTTACTGACCACTACGAGAAAGTGGTCGGAAATTTCGACCACTTTCTGACTAGTGCAAACTTTGGACGAAAAAATTAAAAAAAATTCTTTTTCGCGACCACTTTTTTCGGTGGTCGAAATGAGGTCAGAAAAATGATAATTTCGAGCAGTGTTATTTGATTACTAAAAATAAATCATTTTGTATAATTTACATTCAATACACGAATAATGTACTTTTAGTATCATAAATGTACTTTTTGTTACAATTCACATAGCATTATGTGGACCATGGTCCACAAAATAATTTGCCGTGCAAAAAAAGAATGGTCCACACAATTGTGTGAATCATGAATATCAAGTACATTTTTATATTAAAAGTACATTATTTTTGTACTGAATGTACGTTATATAAAATAATGTACCCTTAGTATATTAAAAATATACTTACAAAAAATGTACCTTACGTACATAATTAATGTACCCTTAATATATTAAAAATATAATTTTTATTTTTATTTTTATTTTTATTTATGCAATAATGATTTGCAAAACAAACATCAGGCCCCATCCTTGAGCCCAGGGTGAATCCAAAAGCAAATTTGGCATTGAGTGACAATTTTGATATATTAATTTGAATGGGCTACTTTTGATTTGAAAAGAGTTAAATTAAAATAGATTTTTATTCTCCTGAGGATAAATTTGATTTAATATGCACCTTAAAATGGATAATTAATAAATAAAAATTAATTTTCAAACAAAGATGTAGAAGGAAAATTGTTAGGAATGTAGCGGAATAATGCGGAAGCGAGCGGAATAATGCGGAAGCGAAGAATCGAAAATTGAGAATTATAGAAGTTAAATAATGGGGAAAATATGTATAAAAGACAAATGAATAATTAACAAGGGAAAATACAATATATATATAAACTCTCAATTGAGAATTACAAGGAGTATATATATATTTATATGAATATACGTGAGAGTAGCTAAAAGAGAAAGAAAGAAAGAAATCAATTAAATTGATATTGATGTTAGAATGAGAGGTGCATTACAAAGAAAATTAACAATGCTATTTATACTCTAAAGGAAGCAACAAATGCGGTAATTGCATGGAGACACAATGGAGACAGTTGCGGCATGAAATGGAGCTTGATGCGGCATAACTGCTACGTGGGTGCTGCATGGTGAGTGGAAGACGCCAACATGGAGAAATGGTCTTTCATGGATGAATTTGAACCACATATTCTAACAATCTCCACCTTGGATCAAATTTATTATGGGAATTAACAACTGGAACAGCCGACTAAACTCAAGCACTGCTTGAACTTAGCAATAGGAAGAGCCTCAGAATAGCAGGATGGAACACCATCAACTTCCTGTGTGACTAAAAGAGCATAAGCAACCAAGTTGTTTTCATCCTTACTAGCATACCTAGCAGGTTTTTTAATTGTCCTCCTAGGACGATCCACAGCAATGGAATACTCTCGTTGTGGCTCGACGAGAGGTGCGGTGCTAGTAGACGCATCATCTTTAGTATTAGCATCAGTGGTAGTAATACTATCAATAGGCCTGAACTCAAACTCCACCTTCTCACCAGTACTCTGCGTCTCACCTGTACTGGGAACTTTTCCAGAAGAAAATAGTGCATTTTCATCAAAAGTGATATCTCGACTCAGAATGATTTTCCGAGAATCAGGAGACCATAGACAATACCCTTTTGACTCAGAAGCATAACCAAGGAAAATGCATTTGACAGCTCTCGGGTTTAATTTACCCGTACTGGAATGAGCATAAGCAGGACATCCAAAAACTCTTAAAATAGAGTAGTCAACAGGATTACCTGACCAAACTTCTTCTGGAATTTTAAAATCAAGGGATGAATGTGGAGATCTATTTACCAAATAGCAAGCAGTAGAAACGGCCTCGGCCCAAAAATCACGCCGTTTCCATAACCCAGCATTAGAGAGCATACAACGAGCTCTTTCCAATAGAGTCCTGTTCAAACGTTCGGCAACACCATTTTGCTGGGGTTTACCAGGCAAGGTCTTGTGCCTGGCGATTCCATTTGCCGCACAAAAGTCATTGAAATCTGACTCACAGAACTCCAAGCCATTGTCTGTCCTGAGCTTCTTGACTTTTTTACCTGTCTGAGTCTCAACAAGTATTTTCCACTTCTTGAAAATAAAAAATGCCTGATTTTTGTGTTTCAAGAAATAGACCCAGACTTTACGAGAAAAGTCATCAATAATAGACATAAAGTATCTACAGCCTCCCATAGACTGGAATTTAGTTGGTCCCCATAAATCGGAATGTATGTATTCCAATACATCTTTGGTACGGTGTGTAGCAGCAGTAGAGAAACTAACCCTCTTTTGTTTCCCAAAAACACAATGCCCACAAAATTGTAATTTACCCGTACCTGAACCACCAAGGAGGTCTTTCTTGCTCAGGATATGCATGCCTTTCTCACTCATATGCCCCAGACGCATATGCCATAATTGAGTGAGATCCGCATCAGACATCGATGAGGATACCGCTACTGAACCTGTCACAGTACTGCGATGCAAGACGTACAAGCTTCCCGAACGAGAAGCTTTCATGAGAACAAAAGAGCCTTTGATGACCTTTAGAACTCCACCTTCAGCTGTGTACTTGCACCCCAGAGATTCCAAGGTGCCCAATGATATCAGATTGCGTTTCAAATCAGGAATATACCGGACATTGGTAAGAGTCCTGACAACGTTATCATGAGTTTTAATCTGAACACTTCCAATTCCACTAACCTTGCATTGGGTATCATTACCCAACAAGACAACTCCACCATCAACCGGTTCCAGAGAAATGAACCAATCTTTGTGGGGACACATGTGGAATGTACAACCAGAGTCCAAAATCCACTCGGTTTCACTCTGTTTCTCACCGGAGCTAACAGATAACAATACATCACCATCTGAATCACTTTCAACAACACTAGCTTCAGCGGACTTCTTTTCTCTCTCTTGCTTGTTTTTCAGCTTAAAGCATTCAGTCACATCATGACCATGCTTCTTGCAGTACTTACAGGATTTGTTGGACTTGGATCTAGATTTTTTATTGCTACTCTCTGTTTCAAGTGAATGACCCCTTACAGTCAAGCCTTCACCTTTGTCCTCAGACTTAATTTCAAAGTCAAACTTTTCTTTGGACAATAGGTTTGACTTAACATTGTCGAAAGTAAGGGTATCACTACTATTACCATACAACATAATTTCTTTGAAATGCTTGTATGATTTAGGGAGAGAAACAAACAATAAAACAGCACGATCCTCATCGTCAATTATGACATCAATATTTTCCAAGTCCAATAAAATAGAATTGAATTCATCTAAGTGAGACTTAATAGAAGTACCTTCCGTCATACGGATTGTGTACAGACGCTCCTTCAGGCGTAGCGTATTCGCCAGAGTTTTGGCCATGTAAAGCGCATCCAGCTTGGACCATAAATCTGACGCAGTCGTCTCACTTACTACCTCACGTAGAACTTCTTTAGACAGGCACAAAAGAATGGTTGAACGTGCCTTGTCATCCAAATCTTCCCAAGTTTCATCTGTCATTGCAGCCGGTTTCTTCTTCTTCCCAGCTAGCGCTTTCTTCAAACCGTTCTGGGTTAGAACGGCTTCCATCTGAACCTTCCAGATAGAAAAGCTAATTTTCCCGTCGAACTTCACGATATCGAACTTGGTAACAGTTGACATCTTTGAAAGTAACTCTCAATTAAACTTGGCTCTGATACCACTTGTTAGGAATATAGCGGAATAATGCGGAAGCGAAGAATCGAAAATTGAGAATTATAGAAGTTAAATAATGGGGAAAATATGTATAAAAGACAAATGAATAATTAACAAGGGAAAATACAAAATATATATATAAACTCTCAATTGAGAATTACAAGGAGTATATATATATTTATATGAATATACGTGAGAGTAGCTAAAAGAGAAAGAAAGAAAGAAATCAATTAAATTGATATTGATGTTAGAATGAGAGGTGCATTACAAAGAAAATTAACAATGCTATTTATACTCTAAAGGAAACAACAAATGCGGTAATTGCATGGAGACACAATGGAGACAGTTGCGGCATGAAATGGAGCTTGATGCGGCATAACTGCTACGTGGGTGCTACATGGTGAGTGGAAGACGGCATAACTGCTACGTGGGTGCTGCATGGTGAGTGGAAGACGCCAACATGGAGAAATGGTCTTTCATGGATGAATTTGAACCACATATTCTAACAGAAATAGCAGGACTTGAAAACTCTGGCTACTAGAGACGCAGGACGAGTTAGGAGTCGCCATACTTGCTTACCTAAAAGAGATAGATTCATCTCCCTTAACCGCCGAAAACCCAAACCGCCTTTTTCCTTTGGTGAGCACAACTTTGCCCATTACTTCCAACGAATGCCTTCACCGCCTGCCCCAGACCCAGACCACCAGAACTTATTCAAAACGGTCTCAATCTCATTACACTGCCCCACCGGTAAAAGAAAAACCATCATTGCATAGCAAGGCATTGCCTGAAGGACATTTTTTAAGAGAACCTCACGTCCTGCACGAGATAGGAACTTAGAGTTCCAGCTATGAATCCAACACAAGATTTTATCCTTCAAGAAACCCAGAATAGCCTTCTTGTTTCGGCCAACCAGGGAGGGAAAACCAAGATATTTACCTGAAGTGTCCCCCTGGTCCACGCCTAGAATATCAACCACCTCCCTTCTGCACTGCTGAGATACATTAGAACTAAAGCAAATAGTAGATTTATCAAAATTAACACACTGGCCAGAAGCAACAGCATACTTATCCAAAACTTCCCTCATCTGAGTACTCTCCTGCAAATTAGCTCGGAGAAACAAAAAGCAATCATCCGCAAAGAGAAGATGTGTAATTGATGGCGCACCTCATGCTATCTTGACACCATGTAATAGCCCCCTCCTCATCTTGTTATCAATTAGGGCACTCAAACCTTCCATCACGAATAAGAAGAGATAAGGGGACAAAGGGTCCCCCTGCCGTAGTCCTCTCTCTGGAATAATTGGGCCCAAATGCCTCTGCTCATGCAAAATATGATAGTTCACAGAGCCCACCGTTTCCATAAGGATGTCCACCCACTTCTGAACAAATCCCATCTTCAGAAGAACAACACGCAAGAACTGCCATTCCACACGATCGTACGCCTTGCTCATGTCAACTTTCAAGGCCGCCACTCCCTCCTTACCCTTGGTCTTGCGCTTTAGAGAATGGTGTGTCTCATATGCTAACATAACATTGTCGATAATCAATCGCCCTGGAACAAAGGCGCTCTGAGCCGAAGAAACTAATGTATCAAGTAAGGACTTCATTCTGTTAGCACACACCTTTGCAGCCACCTTGTAAACTACATTACACAGAGCAATTGGTTGTAGATCCTTCATAGACACTGGATTCACCTTTCTTGGAATGAGCACAACAAAGGTGTCATTGGCCCTATCCGGCAGTTTAGTAGTTTCCACAAACTGTCTGCAAAATAAAGTCAAGTCCCCTCCTAACACATTCCAAAAATTTTGGAAGAAACCCGGTCCAAACCCATCCGGCCTTGGTGACTTATCAAGATGCATTTGGAATAAGGCTATGCGGACCTCCTCAGCACTGACTGGCCGTATCAGTCTCTCGTTATCCGAGGCAAAAATACGAGAGGTAATGCAAGCAACAACCTCATCCAACTCGCCATTTACAGCCTTGAACAGCCCGTTATAGTAATCAACCATAACACTGCCCACCGCATCAACCCCCTCAGCCCACACCCCATTGTCATCTTGCAGCTTATGGATCTTATTCCTCCTCCTCCTTGTCTTTACCGAGTTGTGGAAAAACCTAGTATTTAGATCCCCACCCCTCCACCAGTGCTCCTTAGCCCTCTGTTTCCAGTATATGTGCTGCTGCTCCAACAACTGAAGAAGCACCTTCTCAACACGATTATATTCCACCACACTATTATGCTCATGCCGACCACGAAGATTCACAAGCTTAGCCTTATTCTGCTCAATACGCTTTTGAAAATCTTTATTATAAGACCGCCCCCACTTCCCTACATCCTCACTACACACGCCCACTCTATCAAGGAAATCCAGGCCTGCAGATTTCGCCTAGCTCTACGCTACTATTTTTCCGAATGTTTCCTCCTTCAACCACATATAATGAAGTTAAAAATTAAAGTTTGAAAAGCTTTTAAGTAGCTAGTATTTAGAAAAATATATGAATTTACACTAGTAAGTATAAATACATCTGAACACTTTAATGAATTTGAAATTTGTAACTAAAAAGCTCTCTTAGACGCAAAACGGATATTTTGGAATCAAAAGCCTTCAATCAATTTCGGGTTATACGGTTATACCATGTAGTGGATTCTTTAGAAATATTTTCGAATTAAATTCAATAATTCCCAACACAAACTTGTAAGTTTTGATGGGACTAGTTTGGAACAATTTAAAACTTGGATCAAATGAGACAAAATTTATACTCAATAGCAACATTTAAAAATATCATTATTTTTATACGATCAAAAGCAAAAGTAACTCATTGTGATAATATTAAATTGGCTAAAGTGTCATCCCACACCATGAACCATTCCTCATTATTCATACCGCACCATGATCTTTAATAAGTGATATTTAGAGCTATATACCATAATTTTTTTTTCGTCTAGAACTTTTTACAGGTTACCTATAATAATATTGCTGACATGGAATTTGTTATTAGTTTTTTTTTTTTTTTGTATTTTTCTTCTTTCGCCTTCGTATTATAATTTTTTTTGTGTTTTTCTTTTTTGCAAAACGTATAGGCCTGCTCTGCGTTTTTCGCCTCTCGTTTCTTCGATACCAAACTCTGCAGAGCAGGACTGATCGGAGAAACGAGAAGCGAAAAATGCAGAGTAGGCCTATAAGTTTAGGAAAAAAGAAAAATACGAAAAAAAAAAAAATACGAAGCCGAAAGAAGAAAAATACCAAAAAAAAAAACTAATAAAAAATTCCATGTCAGCAATATTATTACCGGTAACTTGTAAAAAGTTCTAGACGAAAAAAAAATTATAGTTTATGGTTCTGAATATCACTTATTAAAAATTATAGTGCGGCATGACACTTTAGCTTATTAAATTTTCACAATTTTCCAACTTAGTTAAAAATATATACCATTTTTAATACATACTCAGTATTAGTAAAAAAAAAAATTGAATCATTACCCAAAAGGAGGTGGTTGGATGAGTAGAACACAATTCTCATACTTTTTTTTTTTTGAAAAGACATAATTCTCGTACTTAAATAATGGTCACAAGTTTAATTATTACCAACACGACAATTAAATGGAAGTGGAGTTTACGCTATATACATTCTTGGCTTAACTTGCTAAGTAAAATAAAATATTTTAGGAATAGAAAAATTCCCAAAATAACTCGCTCCGTAGACAGCATAAATAATATCCATTACACTCCAAGTGAGCTCAATACATTCACCTATTATACTAATATATATAATTCACAACACTGCAAGCATTAAAGCCACAAAGCACATGACCATGATAAAAGGAATTGTTTGGGGCAGCTCAGTTGGTCACATGAGTGAAGTTTTTAAACAATGACTCAGAATTGAGTCTCACCAACAATAATATCAGACTATGAGGAGTTCCTTGTACACGCAAAAGTCTAAGCCTCTCCCAGATGTTCAGCCGGACCCTTAAAATTAGAGATTCAACCTTTTGAAAACAATGATAGAAAGGAGTTTAACTTGTTATCTAAAAATCCAAAATATAAAATCCTCCAAGATCGTACAAAATATAATGACCCACAAGTCAACTAAAAGCCCACTGCAAATCCCATCGCCATGCTAATATAAAACCAGTCCACTCCAGACCCATCATCACCTTTATTTTCATGTTGGGGAATGCCACCATCCTCAACACTGCAATTTTCTGAAAGTGGAAAGCCGCAGAGGTTGTTGCCAATATAACATGAAGCATTAAAACCTTGAAGTTGAGTACCTGAAGGTATCTTCCCAAATAGGTTGTTATATGACAAGTCCAAAACACCTAAAGTGGACAAACTTGATGCACTCGATGGAATTTCACCTGAAAGTTGATTTCTAGAAAGATCAAGGGAATCTAATAAATTCATGTTTCCCATTTCTTTAGGAATATTCCCTGTCAACCTATTTCTTGATAAATTCAAGGATCTCAAAGCCACTAGATTAGTCAACTCAATTGGAATGCTCCCAACAAAATTATTACTTGAAAGATCCATGCTAGCAAATAGCAATAGAATGAGGGTATTATACTCGTACTCATGTCCTTTAGTTGTCACTAAAGCACTTTCACCAAAGGCCCCACCAAAAACTGAATAGTCAATCTCCCCATAATCACCTTGAGTCTCCTTATACATCATTGAAGTGAGATTTTGAAGACATTTAGGTAACACACCAAAGAGCTTATTATTTGCAAGGTCAAGAATGCGGAGGAATGTGAGATGACAAAATTCCTGAGGCAACTCACCATAGAACTTATTGGATCGAAGTCTTAAGATTGTCAAATTTGAAAGTCGAGCCCCCAACCATCTCGGTATCTTACCTGTAAGTCTATTTTCACCCAAATCTACTTTCAATAGGAGGGTACAATTCTGCAACGACAAATGTATATGGCCCGAGAGCAAGTTCTTATGCAGGTCCAAAGATCTCAATTGATTCAAAAGCCCAATGGAATCTGGAATGTTTCCATCCAGTTTGTTTTTGCTCAGATTTATGACTTCTAAGTGTGGCCAATGCATCCAACATTCGGGGATTTCCCCTGATAAATCATTTCCCCCCAAATGAAGTATTTTGAGCTCATTTGGCACATTTTGGAAGTGGCATAAGAAGTGAGAAACATCTCCTGAGAAGGTATTGCTAGACAGGTCCAATTCAGTTATTTGGGTAGAGATACGAGGTAATGGACCACCAAATTGATTAGAGTTTAGGTACACTAATATAGGTGAATCCATATGATCTCTAGCTGACTGAAAATGGACATTTGGAATTTTACCATGCAACTGGTTGTGTGAAAGATTAACTAACTGGATTTCAGAAGAAAAGTTCCAAAACCATGTGGGAACCTCACCCTTTATTCCGGCATTAGATATGTCCAATTCGGAAAGACTTTGTTGACTTTGTAGCCAAGCAGGAAATTGAGAACCCAAGTGCCGCCAGCCTCTTAACAAAAGTACACTAAGTTGGAAGGGAGGTTTCCAATTTGGACTGACATTCAAGATTAATCTATTGCCAGATGCTTCTAAATACCTTAACTTTGAGAGATTAACAAAGTGACTTTCTGTCACTATGCCTTCCAACATGTTATTGGAAATGGACAAATATTCAATCACTGGAAACAAATATCCTAAACTCTGGGGAAGAGGCCCATAGAATCTATTTCCTGAAAGACTAAGCACTTGCAGCTTGTGCAATTTTCCAATTTGGGTTGGTATCTCTCCAGTAAGCATATTTTCGTCAAGTTCTAGGCTAGACAAAGAAGTCAAGTTGGAAATGGAATTTGAAATGGTGCCTTGCAATTGGTTGTAACTAAGATGAAGTTCTTCTAGATTAGTGCAACCATAAATCCAATTTGGTATGTGGGAATTTAAGTGGTTATTGGAAGCATCCAACAATTTAAGGGAAGTTAGGTTCAAAGAAGAACTTGGCAGAAGGCTCTGAAATTGATTTTGGCTTATTTTCAAAGATATCAATCCACTAAGGCCAAACAATTGATTTGGTAATGAGTCATTCATTTGATTTTGAGAGATATCAAGAAATTTAAGAGATGTCAAGTTCCAAGGGTCACTAGACATATGAACTTGAAATTGATTAAAACTTAGTTCCAGAGATATCAAGTTACTAAGGCCAAACAACTGATTAGGTAATGAGCCATTCAACTCATTATCACTGATGGCGAGAGTCTTAAGGGATGTCAAGTTCCAAGGACCATCGGGAAACGGACTTAGAAAACCACAACTTGGTAAAAAAAGAGAAACAAGGTTATTGAGATTGAAAATCCATTTAGGAATAACAGAGTTGAATTCATTATAGGAAAGATCAAGGACTTGAAGTGAAGAGCTAATATTGTGGTAGAGTAAATTTGATGGTTTAGGCAGATAACAATCATCTAGATAAAGCTTATGTAGGAAAGGAAGTGTGTTAACCACCTCTTGCCAATTATGTGCCATGCTAAGATTAACATAGCTCAAGTCCAAATACTCTAGATTTGAAAGGCTTGATAACCAGTGAAGGGTATCAACATTTAAGAAACCACTATCATAGTATGAACTTTCCAAACGTAAAGTGTGTAAGCTTGAAAGGTTTCCAAGTTGATGAGGAATGACCCCCTGAAATCCTAAGTTGGATAGATCAAGATATTGCAAATTTACAAGAGATCCTAAGAAATTCGGGAAGGGAGATCCGCCAAAATATCCAAGGAGGCCACTAAGATCTAAGTAACGTAATTGCTTCAATTCAAGTAAACATGAACTAAGTTTACCTTTTGGAGGAGAAGCAAGTTTAAGACCAAAGTAGAGATTTCCCAACGAGAGTTCAATGACATGACCAGTTACATTATCGCACACAACTCCTTCCCATTTACTACACCAATCAGCTTTATCAACCCAATTCATTGGAGCTTTTGATTCCTTCTTGAAGCAAAGCAGCGCCCTTTTCTCCTCCTTGCAAACCACATCGTGGTTGATTCCACTACAAATGCACAACCCCATGAGTACAAAGGTGAAGAAGATGATCAAGAAGTGATCAATTTGGTGTAAGGATAATGTCCCCATTATGAGAAAAGTTTTATTAGTTTAAAAAGCTAAGGGGAAAATATATGCGGAGTATATATATGCTTGATTGGTTTTCGTAGATAGTAATGGATGGTATAGATATATATACACAATATGCTACCAAGACTTTAGGTAACGCCGGTCAGGTTGCAGTGTTTATATTTTATGCTACAAAAAAGGAAAATACTATATTTCTACATTCCGTGTTTCGTGTGGAAAAAGAAGGCAAAAGGGAAAATATGTCATAATCTCATAATATGCTACGACTTTAGGTAACGCCCGTCAGGTTGCAGTGTTTATAGGTTAATACGTTATGCTACAAAACATTGGTTGAAATGTATTGGTTACGTTACACTGTACTACGTTTTTTATTTGGATGTAATTGCAATTCAATTACACCATAATTCTTTGGTTATCCGAATTATAGTGTTTGGTTTGAGAGAATTACAATTCCACTGAATTCCCTCATTTTGTTGAATTGCAATTCATATACACTCCCCATATAAATTGCAATTCAATAGAAAAAGGAAAAAAGAAAATTGAAGAAAAAGACTTTTGTACCATTTATTATTATTAGTAGAGTTAATTCCACCAGAGGTCCCTTATCTTTGGTGGCAATTTCAAATTTAGTCCCAGATTATCGTTTTTTGAACATTTTTAGTCCTTTTTTATGATTTTTTTTCATTTTTAGTAAGGGCATTTTTGTCTCTTCATATTTTTCTTTTGTTATTTTTTTGGTTTTAACCAGTTTAATTGGTTTAGAACTTTAGGTAACCTCTTATTTTTAGTAACCATATTTTGCAACCAATTTTTAGTAAAGTCCTAAACCAATTAAACTTGTTGAAGCCGGAAAAATAACAAAATAAAAATATGAAGAGACAAAAACGTCCTTACTAAAAATAGAAAAAAATCATGAGAAGGACTAAAAGTGTCCAAAAAACGATAGTCTGGGATGTAAAATGGCAAAAACGATAGTCTGAGACTAAATTTAAAATTGTCACCAAAGATAAGGGATCTCGGGTGGAATTAACTCTTATTAGTATTATTACACAATGATATTTTAATCTTTATATCACTTCTTTTCTTCTCATTCTTAATAATTTTATTCCCTCAATCAAACAATGTAATTTGAATTTCTATATTATTTCCACCGTATTCTTTTTTCACCGAATTACCCAATTCTTTTTCTTCATAATTGATTCCTTCCAACTAAATGCGCAACTAAACACCCTGTTAATGTTCAAAGTCTTCAAATTCCAACAAGTAAAATACTATATATTTCTACACTCCATGTTTCGTGTGGAAAAAGAAGGCAAAACTATATATATTTCTACACTCCATGTTTCGTGTGGAAAAAGAAGGCAAAAGGGAAAATATGTCATAATCTCATAATTAGTTTGTAGGGTGAATTGGTGACTTGAGGTCTTTTGCGTGCATCAAACTCCAAGCGGCGGTCATCCATAGTTCGTTTTCCTAGAAGCTCAACAAGTCGAATCATTATACTATCAATTATGATCTAGAGGTGAAACTTTGTAAGAATGACCAGGGATCGAGTCTCACCAGTGGCAGTGTAGGAGCAACCTCTCAAAGTGAGGGGGGTTCCTTGTGCGCAGTGAACACAGGTCTAGCCTCTATGGTTCATGTTCAGTTGAGTTACCAAGATTTACATCCTCTCAAATGCTCTGTCGGGTCGGGGTGTGGGGGGTCCTTAGAGTTGGGGTTCAGCCTTTGGAAGAATTATGATCTACCTTATAAGATGGATCATTGACACTCATATTTTTCTTTTAATATATTAAATGTTAATTTTTAATAGAGAAAATAATTTTTTTATTCCTTTAGTTATTTTAATTTTTCAAATTTAGTCCTTATTAATTGATTTGAACATATTTAATCTCGTATTTATCACTATGTTGCACTTTTAGTCCCTCTTATTATATAATTATCAAATTTCATTAACAAACTCTTTTTATAAAGTTATTTTTGTTATTTAGAATCAATATCAATTATTAAAGTTTCACTCTCTCTATTAGAATATTATTTTTAATAGTGAATATTAATTCAAAATAATAAAAGTAACTCTATATATTAATATAGTTTGATAATTATAGAATATTAGAGACTAAAAGTACAACACTATGTATAATTGAAGGCTAAATTTATTTAAATTAACTTACAAGGACCAATCCAGAATATATATATATATATATATATATATATATATATATATATATATATATATATATATATATATATATATATATATAAACAGGATCTATTTTTCCACAAATTCTAAGAAAATATTTCTATTTTGAAATTTTAAATTACAACCATTTTTGGACGAATTAAATAATAATATAATGCTATATATTTTAATTTAATTTATAATAATGATTGCCAAAAATATTAGATTATTGTACCATGGAAAATAGTCTACTTTTAATGTACACTAAATTTATTCTTTTTTAACTTAAGTTTATTTTTTTAATATAGAATAAAATTTATATATAAAAAATATATCATTAAAAATTTTTAATTAAAATCTTTTAAATGACACCTATATTGACATTTTAATTTTAACGTATTAAATATTAAAACATAGTAATTTTTTTCCAGCACATCCTAGGAAAATATATACTTCACTTTTAAAAATTAAAATTACAATCATTTTTAAATAATAACATAAATTATAATATTATATATGTTAATTTAATTTAATGATTGCCCAAAGTATAGGATTATTATACCATGGAGCATGGTCCACTTTTCAGGTACACTAAATTAAATTGTATTTTTTCAACTTAAACCTAGTTTTTTTTTTTAATACAAATAAAATTGATATAATCTATACTATATATAAAAACAAAATCCTAGAATTTTAACTTCCCGCCCAATTTCTAAAAAATATCTCTTCCTTATAAAATATATTGATTTTTTTTCCCATTCGTACAATAATTCTGCGTTAAAATTCTATTCTAATATTATAAAATAGTGTAACACAATCTATACTATATATAAAAACAAAATCCTGGAATTTTAACTTCCCGCCCAATTCCTAAAAAATCTCTCTTCCTAATAAAATATATTGATTTCTACAATAATTCTGGGTTAAAATTTTATTGTAATATTATAAAATTGTGTAATACTATTCCTATTCTAATCTATATCTATTTTATATATCAGTGTTGCAAAAATCGTGTCGCTGGCCGCGGCGAGGAAGGCCGGAATCGGCCTCCTCAGCGGCCGCCTTGCGGGCTGAACCGGCCTTTAATTTTTAATTTTTATTTTTAAATTTGTAAAGTGTCAAAAGTTCGGCAAGGCATAACTTTTGACTCCGTTGTCCGTTTTGGACAAATGTTTTTTTGAAATCACGTATTTTTTCGAGATCTATCCACCGCAAACTGCCGTAGGCGGTTTGGCCCACCAATTTCTAAAAAAAATACTTTATTAAAGAGTTTCTAAAAAAAAACTATGAGAACCTTATGTTTTGTTAATGAATTTTTAAAATTTTTAATTAAACAATTGTCCCGTGCATTATTTAATAATCTTTCTTTATAATTGGTCAAATTATTTAATTATGGTAAATTTGGGAATAATTAATGATGGTAATAGAAATCCTACAAGAATATAGAATTGAACAATATTTAATTATTGTTATATTATTATTGTGACTCACGGAATACAAGAGTTAATGCCATTTTTGGTCCTAGACTTATTGGGGCATTGACACTTTTCATCCTCCATAATAAAAATTGCCACTTAGTAGCCACTGTTATTGATCGTTGGACAGTTTTGATCCTCCGTCAATGACACCGTTTGTTGACCGTGAATTAGAAGGGTTTTTCTGTCTTTTTATGATCTAATCATGGTATTTCTCCATCCATTGGTCACTGCTACATCCATTTCTTCAAACTGAGATTATCCGCTTCAGTCCTTTCTAACATTAAGAAACCATCTTCACCCAACTAACAATCACGAATTTTACATTTGACATCAATCTCAAGATAATGGAAACAAGTGCAGTTGGAATAGAAAGGGCGTTAGTCCATGCCTGTGGAAATTTTGTCGAGCATACAACATAACTAGCAAAGTCAGGAATATCACCCAACCCCTCCCCTAACCTTTCTGCATCAACTATAATAGGTATGCCCCTACTCTTTGCCTCCTGCACTACAATCAAAGTAGTCTCATGCAACCTTCCATCTAAGTAGACAATATTTACTCCAAGCGCTGAAGACAATTTTGATTTGGGTTTGTAGACCCTCAGATATCATGGGTGGATATCCTGGAGTGAAAATGCACGTGCGAGTTTTTTTTTTTTTTTTTTTTTTTTTTTTTTTTTGTTGTCAACAATGACATATGTGAATGCTGAGTTTCCTCTTTTGGACACCACCATAAAAGATGTATCAACACCATCCCTTTCAAGCTCATCAAGTATTCTTTCGCCATGCGAGTCATCAGCAACCTTAGATATGATCCTTGGATTTAGACCAAGACGAATTTTATCATCCAGGTTTTATCAAAGCATTGCCAGTGTTACCACCTCCTTGAACCTCAAAGCTGGTGCTCCGAATTTTGTCATCCGGGTTGGGGAATGAAGCTACAGCAGCCAAGAAGTCAACACCGGCCATTCCAACACCTCAGACAATGCAATTTTTGGGGAGCGGCGGATTCCACATTTTCAGCTTGAAACTTCAATGAATTTCAGGTAGAATAACAGAGTAGAGTTTTTGATGTTGTGCACCAAGTAGTTGTGGTCAGAGAGAGAGAGAGAGAGAGAGAGAGAGAGAGAGAGAGAGAGAGAGAGAGATGGGAAGGATATTTGTGGTCAATATGGAAGGGAGGACTTACAGGTGCAAATTCTACATCACGCCATCTACAACTACAACTGCTATTTACCATAGGAGGGTTCGCCGACCTGCTGCTTTCTCTGCTTCGCCGGAACCAAAAACCACTGGTGAAGGCCCCAACCTCGCCGGATCTGTTGCTGCACCGCCTGATCTGCCTTACTGGTCCGTCGCCGGAAGGAGTTACTGCCTCGTATGCTCGCCACCGTACCCACAACTCGCCGGAGAAGAACCTCGCTGCTACTCACTACCGACGGTTACTACTTAGCCGCCAAGTCTCGCCATCTCGCCTCACAGGAGTCACAGCAGCGCTGGTCTAAACAAGATTAGAAGAATAAGACATAAAAAGACAGAAAAGCTCTTCTAATGCACGGTCAACAAACGGCTTCATTGACGGAGGATCAAAATTGTCCAACGACCAATAACAGTGTCTACAAAGTGGCAATTTTTATTATGGAGGATGAAAAGTGTCAATGTCTCAATAAGTCTAGGACCAAAAATGGCATTAACTCCGGAATACAATACAAGAATTTTTAATTATGGTTATATTATTATTGTGCCTCACGACCATTATATACTAACAGTACTTGAAAAGAAACTAATAATAATAATAATCTAAGTGGTAATAATAATATCTAAAAGTAATTAAGTGTTAATAATAATAGTAAGAATAGTAACGTAAGAGTTGTAACATAGAATAAATTGTAATAATTAATAACTATAGTCTAGGATTAAATTTGGAATTGTCAGGAAAGATAAACGACCTCTGGTGAAATTAACTCTTAAATAATTATATATCGATTTAAATATTCTTAATATATTACAACAATTTCATTCCGTGCATCGCACGGGTGAAAATACTAGTTTTTGAAACAATAAAATGAATACAAAAAAAAAAAGTACATCATTAAAAAGTTCTAATTAAGATATTTTAAATGACTCTAAGGGCCCCACACCCCACCTGACAAAGTATGTGAGGGGAAGTAAATCATGGTAACTCAATAAACAGGGCTAAATGCCGGTGAACAAAAGGATCTTAAATCAATATATTTCATAGCATTAATGGCGGTTTAATTCAACCAACAAACTTGTTTCATATATTCCAATCATTATTGTATAGATCATAAATAAAAAAAAAAAATACTCCGTACATTATTTGTGTATGTGAAACACATTATTTGAGTACTAAAAGTACCTTATTTTTTATACTATCAAATAATGTACATTCAGTATACAAATAATGTATTTTTAGTATATTAAAAATGTACCTTATATTAAAAAATATATATTATTTGAATACTAAAAGTACATTATTTTATATAATATATATTCAATACACAAATAATATACTTTTAATATATTAAAAATGTACATCTTTTTCTATATATTCCACATAATCGTTTGCCCATGTATTCAATTCCAACGGTAGTCGCATGATGGCTGCGCAGTTGTTTGACGCAAATAGAAAACTTGTCCCACAAAAATAGCACTATCAAATTCTTTAAACACGGTCTGGCTAAAGATAACATGCAGCCGAACAATACAATGAACATTCACACCTAAACTAATGGCACTAAGTGTGTAAGTTGCTCCTTTATAAGGGAGGTTGTGTGATCGAGTTTCATGGTGATGTTGATTTTTTGTGCTTTTAAAAATTGAAAAAGTAGTAATGAACAGATATTGTATTGTAATAAAGTCAGTAGTATTAAAAAAAAAAAAACATTGGCTTCCAATCTAGTATACACTATATACAAATTAATGGGCTCGATCGTCCGATCTAGGTGATCCGAATGTGACATTCATTTCATGGGTTAACAAATGGTATTTCCCCTAAAAAATAAGAATCTTAAATGTATAATTTCTACGTATTTTTTACAATTTAATAATATAATGACGAATCAATGATTTTAGTACAAGTACATTATACTCAAAGATCAAACATATAGAATCTCACCCTCTCAGGTGGGAGTTGTATATGTTTCCTTTATCACTCAAAAAGAGATATATAGAATCTATGTTCTTTCCTCTTTTTTATTTTTAGGTGAACAAATTAGGTCATCTATCACTTTATATACCATGACAATTAACTAGCTATAATAAGAAAAGTAATTATATATACATGTAATATCACGGACAAAATAAATTTCACATCAAAATTAAATGCACCATATATATATACCAAACAAAAAGTTTTCCTTTAAGCATTTTCCTAATAGGAATTGAATTGAGAATATAATATCATTTAGACATTTTAGTCCATTCACTTCTTCTCCAATGGTTTAAAACCTAAAACGAAAATTTCCAAATAACATTAAAGCAGTACGCTAAGATCAGAGTAACGTAGTCCTCCCTAGCTAAAATTTCAGATAAATATTAAATAACCTAGCTAATTAAGCAGTTAGTGACAGACTGTGAGAGTGAGCAGAAGCTAATACTAGCTAGCTAGCTAGGTAGGTGATGATATCATATCATGGCCTGCTAGGTTTGTTGTTGTGGTGCAGCGGGTCGGGTCCTGTCGGCACTTCTCTTGCTGACTCATCCACCAAGCCACCTTCCTTCCTATTCCCTTCCTATTCTCAGTTAGGGTTTCCCAAAAAAAACAAACAAATCAAATTGCAAGTTATCATAAATGGAAATAACATTAAAAAGATCTTCGCCATAGCTAGCTAGCCTGAAGATCAGATGAAGAAATAAAATATTGGGTTTCCGATACATCGAAGAAAAACATGGACGTCTTTTCAGATTTTCATTATATATATGCAGGGAGGCAGGGTTTGGTTTTCAAGAACCATTTATCTAATAAAGTTCTAAACACGGAAAAAAGTGTGAACTTTTTGGCTTTCAATCAATCTTTTGTAAAAGAGCTGAGAAGTGAGAACCCATTATATATATTCTAGAAGGAATTGAAGGAAGAGTATATATATATACCTGCAGCTGAGACTCCATATTGTCAGCAGCCACCATCTCTTCTTCTGCTACTGCTTGTGAATGTTGAAATGCTGAAACAAATTTTAAGAATAAACCCAAACCACTCACATTAATAACAACCTAAATAACATTCTTCAACGAAAAGACACCAAAAAGCTGGCTAGTTTGAGATTAGAGATTTACACTTGCAGGGACGAGAGCTATGGACAAATGGCGGCGAAGCCCCCACGAGAAACATCAGAAGAATGGCAAAACCCGTCACCGTTCTCCGAACCGTCATCTCTTTTCCCTTCTCTGAGCTGCGGGCTCGGAAGATCTGAAAACGCAAAACCAAAAACAAGTTCCCTAACCTAGCTAGCTAGGCTTTTCTTGGTTTTCCCAAGTTTCGCCGGGAGAGAAGAGGCGGCGCTGAGAGAAAATGGGGTAGAGAGAGAGAGAGAGAGTGTATGTATATGTGTGACGAAAAGCTATTATTTTCTCAACATTTCTGAGGTGCGCTTTATACGAAAACCTGACCAAAAACCCCCTTATGTTCAGAGACCGTTTCGCTGCATTAGGTTTTTTCTTTGAAATCATGGGGAGGGCAAAAACGTCATTGCGCACATTTGATACATAGTACCCACCCGTACATTCTATGTTGTTTGTCGGCATTCGGAGGAGCGAGAAAACTTCGTGTCAGTGGCGGCGACGTGGAGGATCAGGATCTGATAACGATTTCAATCATTTCGTTGGTCCCACCGTATCAAAAACAGTTATTTGGTTTGAAGTTACAATTTTGCCCCCGGTTCTCGTTACCTTGTTATTATCGTTATTAGAGAATCCTAGGCAGCAGTTTGGGGATCAAGAATCAAAATAGGTTAGGATACGTTTTTGGCTTTCTCAAATATTAAATTGGACAATGTTTATCCTACCACTACAAAATGAACGTAACACAACTTGAAAGAATTTCCAAAAATAAATAAATTATAGCCCATAAATTTCTAACTATACATTATCCAATATCTTACAAATATATTGGCCCTATTTGGTTAATGGTTATTAACTGATAGCTGATAACTATTAGTTGATTGGGTTAATTAGAGGGTATAACTAGTTGATAACATTAATTGATTGTAGAAAGAAAATTAATTGTTAGCGAATAATTTTTTGATATAATTTCTTTTCTCAAAAAGTTACATTAAGTAGCTTTTTGAATTTTAGTATTTTGGAATACAAAATGCTAATTAACAAAACACTTATATTGATTTTTAAATCAAGTCAAACAAGTAGTAGTGGTCAAATAAGTCAACATTATTTGCCTATATGCTAACTATTTTACCAACCGATGCCATTATATACCGGATCGTTATGCTATGCATCCGTATGCACCATGCATGGTGCATACGGATGCCAAAACGACGTCGTTTTATTAAAAAACGCGCGTCTCTCCTTTAAAAAAATTCAGGTTCGATTCCAGCAACAACATTATATTGTTCATTCATTCTGGAATTATAGTTCATTGATTATGGAATTATAGTTCATCGATTATGGAATTGTAGTTCATCGATTCTGAAATTTTAGTTTATAGATTATGGAATTTTAGTTCATTCATTCTGGAATTTTTAGTTCATAGATTAGATTATGGAATTATAGTTCATCGATTATGGAATTATAGTTCATCGATTATGGAATTATAGTTCACCGATTGTGGAATTTTAGTTCATATGTTGTTGCTGGGAATCGAACCTGATTTTTTTTTTTTAAGGGGAGATGCGCGTTTTATTAAAACGACGTCGTTTTTGCATCCGTATGCACCATGCATGGTGCATACGGATGCACAGCATAATTTGCCTTATATACCCATGCATGTATTATTAAAAAGGTCCCAAATGCTCAGTCGGGCCGGGGTGTGGGGGCCCTTAGGGTTGGGGTTCAACCTTTTGGAATAATGTATTATTAAAAAGGTAATGGCCCTGTGTGGTAATACTGTTAGCTTATTTGTCCGTTTTGGCTTCTTTAACCACTATTAACTGTTTGACTTTGTTAAACAATCAATATAAGAGTTTGATTAATTAGTTTTTTGTAATAGCTTATTGCTCCAAAATACTAAAATTAAAAAAGTGGATCAAAGCAGCTTTTCGAGAAAGTAATTTAAATATAATCAGCTAACAGCTAATTTACCAAATATTTTTCTACAATCAACTAATGCTATCAACTAGTCAAACTCACTAACACAATCAACTAAAACTATTTACCAAACACCTCAAAATCTTTTAAAACTTTAAACTAATACTTTAGATTACTTGAACTTAAACATTGATATATCCTACACATAATATACTTTAATTGTTGGTTCATGATATAATAGCTTGTTTAGCTTAACCAATCTTAATTCAAACATGAACTTTAGTTGTTTTTTTTTTATGCACTATTTTCAACCTTAGCTTCCATAAATGAAATTAATTTAATCGAGTTGTGGTAAGTTCCATTGAAAACCATTCTTCCAATGGTATTGATGAATAATAAATATTTTTAAAAAGAAAAACTAGGATTCTTAAATAAATTCAACAAAATTTGGGTAAATCTAAAAATAAACTCTCAAGTATTGTGGAAACTAATTTAGGTTAAATAGTGATATATAACCTAAATTATCCATTCTCAAAATAGTGTAATAATGTTCTCTTTAGACTTCAGTTACACTAAACCACGCTCAAATTAGATCTAGTGTCAAATTATTCTGTGGACCCGAGCCGGATCTAAAGATACACAATTTACATACTAAATCTTCATAGTTTTACTTTTTAAAAATTCACAATTTGTGATGGCATTGTATTGTATTCACAAATTCTCAAAACTTAGAAACACAATTTATATTCTAAATGTTCACAATTCCAATACTAAAAATACGGTCAAAGTATCTATGAAGCCCTTGTACTATAGTTTTTTGTTCAATTTAGTGTTTGTACCTTTATTTTGTTCAATTTAGTCCCTCTACTTTAAAAAGTAGTGAAACTAAGGACAATAGTTAACGGTATTAATATTACCTTTAACGTGGCTCTGACATCATTGCTGCCACATCATGATATATATACTCCAACTCATATATTACTTTATAAATATGTAAAATTAATTATTTTTACCACTAATATATTACATTAATATGTCCAAAATAAATAATTACAAGCATGCTAACATGATTGTAATTATTTATTTTGGACATACTAATTTAATATATTGGTGGTAAAAATAGTTACTTTTAAATATTTATATTCCCCTCAAAAAAAAATATTTATAAAGTAATATATGATTAGGAATATAAATACTATGATGTGACAATGATGATATCAGCACCACGTAACCTAAATTAACGGTAATATTAACACCGTTAACTATTGTCCTTAATTGCATCATTTTTTAGAGTACAATAACTAAATTAAACAAAATACTATAATACATGGACATCGTATTTACTTTGACCTATAAATACACAATTTAGAATCAGTGCACACAAGTAACAACTGCCACATAATGGTGCCATCACCAAGGACATATATAGATGCTCAAATCAATGAAAAAATTAATATACTGCCACCCAGTAAAAACATCAACAATCTAAAAATTCTTGAAACATTATTTAACAAAACCCTGGAATAGAATGTGACTTACATGGTTTACTTTCGGTTCATATCTTTAAAGTAAGGAAGTGCTTTCACCGTTGGTTCTATGGTGTAGTGGTTAGCACTCTGGACTTTGAATCCAGCGACCTGGGTTCGACTCCCGGTAGGACCTAAGATTCAGTTTATTTTAACTTTTGCACAACCGTTCACTACTAAACCAGCCAATTTGATCAGAACGCCTTCTTAAAGTATATAAAACAAGCAAGTCATAGTGAACAGCCAATAAGCTAGCTAGTTTCACAACATAATCAACTAGTTATTTTTCTTGACTATTTATCAACCAATATTGCTGATCAAATTTAACCTTATTTTACAGGACAAAAATTATCAAGGCTACAATCCTCAATGAAAAATGGTAAATGTAATCCATGGAATATAACTCCCACCAAGTATTTAAATTTTATTGGAGGAAGAACTTTAATTTGCAGGAGAAAAAACTCCCCCTTAGTACAAAATAAAACCCACCCCACGTTTTTTTAAAAAATTTTTTTAAAAAAGTCACTAATATTGCTGCTCTAAGCAATTAAACCTTGACACATCACATAAGGAGTAGACATGACAATTTGTGTATACGGGTTCGCTTATGGATCAACACAATAATTAACGACACGAATATGATAAGGCTAAACACGAACACGGCACGTCAACGTTAACGGATTGAAATTCTTAACACGAACATGAACACATTTGTAATTTGTATACGGGTTGACACGATAGACATGTTTCGTTAACAGGTTTCGCGTTGTGTCGACACTATATGAAATGAAACCCGTTTAAACATGCTAAACCTATTAATATATTTTTTAAAAAACTAAAATTTGAAGTAAAGTTATATTTAAAAATATTATTTAGTGTTTATATATATATATATATATATATATATATATATATATATATATATATATATATATATATATGTATATATATTCATAATTCTAGAATTTATATTATTATATTAAAATATAGTGGATAATTTGAGTAATAATTATTGTATGATCAATATTATTAAATTAAGAATTTTAGATATGATAAATTACTAAATATAATTAAGGTAACATTTAATTAAAATCTAAATGAAACCAAACTTATTTCTAATACTAGCGGCTGTATGCCCGATGCGCGTTAGGCAGGGCCCAATATAGATGGTACAACTTTAATATAACAATGACATATGAATGTGAATACAAAACGACTTAAATTTCAGAAGAAGGGGTTTGAGTGTATCTGGAAGGACAAGATAAGCATGACAATCATATCGAAAGGCATGTAATCGTGTCAGTAGGAAAGGCCTAGTGCCTGAAGAAGCATCGAAAGAAGAGAAAACATCTCTCAAAACTCTTAACTGTCATAACACATTGAATCATTGGATGTGTGAATGAGTATGATTCACTGGACCATTTCAAGATTTTGTACTTAGTGCTTCGTTATCACCAAAAAATGGTTAGTTGACAATTGCAAAACATTAATTAGGTCAGTAGAATCTCTAATAAGTGCAAGCAGTAGAATTTGACATTATATTCACGAGGCATATCGGTAAGAGCGGAACGATTGATCACAAGTGATTTAGTCCCGTCGGGTTAATGGCTGTGAAAGACCGGTTGGGTGATTTCTTGACGGATCGACTATACGAATCAGTCTTTTATGCGTATTACCCATCACGATAATATGTTCATCGCTGCGAACCGGGATAGATTTAGCAGTCGACCGGCAAAATCGTGCAGGTAAGGCCATGATAAC